AGAATCTGTCTATCAATACTTTACATCAATCTCCAAGCAGATCTTCCAATGGCAAAATCGTAACTGCCAGATAAGACGGTCCTATGGGCCACAAGAGGATCTGCTTGGAAGTTGGAGATTAACTTTACACCGCTGAAGAATCTTGTTTTATTCAAATCTAACCAAACTTTATTGCATTACCATTGTAACAGGTGCACCAAGATTGGCAAGAACGTATGTTCGGATTGTGTGGATGGCGTACGATCTGAATATACGTTCTTGACGATGTTGAAGCAGGTTGATTCATAGTATAATGATACGCAGGAAAAATTTGATGTACACAGTATTTGTAAGCTCATGTGCGTTTTTGTATACATCTGGTTCAATTTTTAATTTGGTATCTGGAATGAAATAATTAAAGGAAACCTGAAACCCCTTTTAGAACCTCCTGTGCATCCACACAATGTCTATACATGCAACATGTAGTCTTCCAAATTCTGCTGAGTTACAATAGTTGCCTCTACGAGTATGAACCTAAACATTTCACAGGGAAACCTAACCCATGTCTGTGTCACAGTGCCTTGTACTATGTGTAGTAGTAGTAATGCACTTATCCTTGTATGGAGCACATGTGTCCTCCTATTAAACCAACCCTTTCATGGGCTGCACCTGTCGTCAAGGTAACACAAAGTTCACACCCTAATTAGGGGAGGGACAACCTGAGTGGGATTGACTTACACCAATGGAAGTGACCTTGTGGAGTGTTAATTAGAACAGCTGGGTTTTGCCAGAGGGACAGGCAATGGGCTGTTCCAAAAAATAACTGTGTAGGGGGTGGAGGTTGAATTGGATGGGGGGGACGGGGCTTGCCTAGGGTTTGCGCATCTAGAAAAGAAACTAGGGAGAGTTTGAGCAAATCTGGACAAAGAACTAGGGACGGTTTGAGCAAATCTGGATAAAAAACTAGGGAGGGTTTGAACAAATCTGGATAAGAAACTAGGGACGGTTTGAGCAAAGCTGGATAAGAAACTAGGAATGGTTTGAGCAAATCTGGATAAGAAACTAGGGAGTGTTTGAACAAAACTGGATAAGAAACTAGGGACGGTTTGAGCAAATCTGGATAAGAAACTAGGGAGGGTTTGAGCAAATCTAGACAAGGAACTAGAGAGGGTTTGAACAAATCTGGATAAGAAACTAGGGACGATTTGAGCAAATCTGGATAAGGAACTAGAGAGGGTTTGAACAAATCTGGATAAGAAACTAGGGACGATTTGAGCAAATCTGGATAAGGAACTAGGGAGGGTTTGAGCAAATCTGGATAAGAAACTAGGCAGGGTTTGAGCAAATCTGGATAAGGAGCTAGGAAGGGTTTGAGCAAATCTGGCTTGGAACTAGGTTAGGATCCAAAGTTGATTTTTTACCACCCTCCACAGTTATCTTTTGGAATATCCCAAAAAACAGGCAAGGCTCCATATATAAATGCACAACTGATATTCGCTCATCAAGTCAACCAAACCTAAAGGATATTCAGCAACAGTTAGGCAAACAAATTCCTCCAATTCCAGACTAGCAACGTAGTTTATTACGGCTCTTAAGTCCTGTATGAGCACTTTTTAGGTCATATCAAGGCATGGCTAGAATTGATTTGTACAATCTGGCGTGCACGATTCGACAATGTATCACGCCATTAGTGTGCTGAGAATTGACTTGTAACCAATGCCTGTACACATAAATGTCTTTCAACTATAATTCACAAGAACTGAATGCAAAGATAGCAACAGTAGACTAGTTATACTGAACTTTTATGTTGTATATCATTTGCAACGATGAAAAAATACAGGTTTGTACATAAGACAGAATGCTAAATCATAGGAAGACACTAACTAGATGTAGAATATTGACTAGAATTTTACTACTGTAGTAGTTTCTTAGTAGTTATCAGTAGTTCTATGTGTACTAATTATCTGTTTTTATACCAAATGTTTCTTCTGTTCCTGCAATTAGCCTTCTCTACTTCTGCATGAATTTGCAATAAAACTTGTTATTGTTACTCCTGCATCAGGGATATACATGTACTGCAAAATATACATTTAGATCATACCTTTATACCTAACTTTAGATGTACAATAGATGATACAAGTGTGTGGGAAGTTGTGAACAAAACTTTGCAATAGGTCAAAAACTGACCTTGACACTTCTGATGACCCAACTACTCCAAGCTTGGAGCCTTGTAAACAACACTGACTAGACAAAACCCTTGGAATTTTCCACAGAAACTCCCAATGACAGACCTTAAGCTGCAGTTGTATGTTAACTTGTAATTTGTTTACAGCTAAGAAACAGTGTTGGGCAGAGAGACCTTGACACTAGGGCTGACCACATGATTGGAGACATACCGCACTGTTGACACGAACAAAGCCCAGACAAATACATTTCACACACACAGTGACCCACATACTGACACCAGCAATGGCTGCATGTAACCAGTCTGACTACAGGACAAAAACCTTTCTGACAGTGACACTGAGTCGGTACGACAGGCCATAAGATGAAGGACTTGAAAAACTAATTCCTTCCCACCACCAGAGCTCAAAACCGTGAAAGCCGGGCTCAATTTTACCTGCCATTTCAATCAACAAGTGGATGTTGTGCATATTTCTAGAGACACAACAGAATTTCGCTGCCAAGCACTCTTATGATGTTGACATACTTACCGGTACTACCAACTAAAACATAGGCTGTGGGAGACGCGAAAGGTTAAACTCAGCTGCATATTTCGCAGTTACACCATGCTGGGAAAACATTTCAATGCAAAACGCAGGCCCTAACTAGTGGATAACGACATAACGTCTAATTTGTCCGTCAAAACTCGCACCCAGGCATCAGTTAACAATGATTGATCCCTTCGCTTATCCTACAAAATGACTTGTTGCTAATAATGGCATCACTGATGGAACCCTTTTACAGGTTTAGAGGAAACTGGGAATAGCGCAAGCCAGATTCCTATCAGGTTGCCAATCAAAACAATACACTGGGACACCTGGTTCCCATTGCCTTGTCTTACACTGCCAAATCTCACCCTGCCCCATTGTTGTCCTAGAAAGATAGGCATCTCAACCACATGTCAAGCACTGCCATTCAAAACCAAATACAGTTTTTGGACACCTCCACTTTAGTGGCTGTTGTACAACTTTGAGGAACTTATTTTTTTTCTTTCCACTGTTAGGCCTGCCGCCACAGTTTTATCATTTTAATTTGTTGGTTGTTGGATTTAACCGCTTCATTTTCCCCTCATTCGCAAACAAAAAAGATTCAGGTGTTGAATAAACTTCCAAATGCTCATATAATTTTGGTCCCAACAGTTGAAGAAAGTCCCTGTCTCCCTAGTCCCTAGTTGTTGGATTTTTTCAATCTATTCAATGCAGTGGTTTTATTAAAAGTTCAAAATTCATAGTCCTACCATAGCTTTCAGGGCTATCATACTATTCATAGGATGCCTAGGCCTGTTTTTTTCTCACCCTGTCGCTTCCTATTTTGTCCCAAAAATATCCAAGAACCAACAAATTAAATTGTTTGCGTATAATGAGTCTAGTGCTCAGGAAATGTCACAGGAAAATCCTCCAGGGTATTATGTGCAGGTATGGGTGCACCTTGAGCTATCCAACACAGCATGTGAACCATTACATGAGGACACATGCTTTACTTTTTGGCAACGGCCCAACGTTCTGTCATAACCCTACTAAATCATAACACTTCATAAAAACAGCAAGGGAGAAGGCTCAGAAGGGACTATGATAAATAATGTGTCACCTTTTCCACTACTTGTAAGAACACTGATCAAGAGAATAGTATTTCAGGTATGTATTTTAATATGCCTCGAGGCTACCTTGCCTAGAATCTCCTAACCTTTATTGAGGAATCTTTACATCAATTTTACTGAATTCTGAAGCAATAAAACTGACAGTAGTGAAGTCTCCCATGGGGTAGTACCATTTGAGTAGGAATTGCTTTTCTGTCTACTTGTTCAAAATTTGACGGTACTGACAGTGAGTTGGTCCTACAGGTTTTGAAAGACACAAGCCTCAAAATACTTACGTGTTCTGCTATTATTTCACCAAAAATAATACTGAGCAGAGCCCAAATTCTTTTTCAGTTTGCTGGAAAACAACTCTTTTCTACAATTTCAGCAATTTTTCTTTACATACTTACGTGTTCTGCTACTAATTTACCAAAGATAATACTGAGCAGAGCACGAATTCTTTTCAGTTTGCTAGAAACCATCTCTTTTCTGCAGTTTCAGCAGTTTTTCTATACATGACAGGTTGCAGGGCATATTTTGCACCCTAGAGGAGTAACAAAAGCATCACGTTTCCTATGTTTTGGCATCGGTGTCATTTTCGTTGGCACCTGCATCACAGTGGATTGACTAGAACTTGAAGCGCGACCAAGAGTAATGCTCCAACATGTGGCCAGGCCTTCCCTGACGAAACACGGCCTGACATTTGCTTCCAAACCTACAGGCAGGGTCAAATCTAGAGGTGTTCGGAGGCCCTGGATGGCTTCCACGGAAAATTCTTAGTCCAAGTATTACCATAAGAACAGGCTGGGGTTTAGGTCTGTACCCTCCCCCCACTGGGAAGAGAGGAATCTGAGTGGGCGACCTCTAATCACCAGCTATTGAAATCTCTGTCAAGTTCAAACCAAAGCTGGGCTGTATCCGTGCAGGGGTGGAATGCCTGTATGTAGAGATAGCGTGCCCAACAATTGGAGTGGGTTGTGAGAGCACTGGTGGGCACGGGTGGCCCTCTCTCTATTCCCACCCTAGGCAAATAACACTTGCCTGCTAACGACACCAATCTCGTGTGTGTGTGCGCTATGCGAGCCCCACCAAACAGGCACATCCGATACTATTATCGGCAGACACGTCCGTGTGTTGTGTGCCCGACAGACCGGGTGAAGGGCTTGTTGTGGCTGGGCTTAACGTTAAAACTATGCAGTAGTAGTAAACACGACAACCTTACCTGGTTTGACAGTTTTCAGAGACACCGGGTCCTTGCTGTCCTTGATCAACTCCTGGACGTCTTTTAGGGTGAATCCTGCGACTTTCGTGCCGTCGACTTCGAGGATGATGTCGTCTGAGTGGAGTTTTCCCGCTCTGTAGACTATTTTGTCGGTTTTGGCCTCCCCGATGAAGGTGAAGAGTGCGTTCTCGGCCCCTCCCTTTATAGTGAAGTTGAAGCTACCGTCTTCTGTTCGGGACACGAGGGTGTCCCGTACGCGCTGGTACCAGTGTTTACCCCCCTTCTGCTGCTTCTCCCTCCCGCCCGAGCCGGGACGTTTGTTCCTGTTCATCTCGCCCGGAATTATATATTCCCCCTACATCGAAGGCGAAGGACAACAACAACAAACTGCGTCGCAAACGGAGCGGAAAATCTGTACGGAAAAGCTTCGTCAAGCGGGACGCCTCCGGGGTCACCTCTTTTTTACTGTGGAGGTCAGTCACTCGCGAGTAGGAGTTGTTCAAAACAAACCTTACTAGACGGTTTTTCTCCAACACAGGCAAGGAAAAGGGTGCTGTTCACTTGCCAATGTCCTCCAAGGACGCTCAAAGTATGATCGATGATCAAAGAAAACAAGCAGGGCAGGAAAATCCTCCGAAATCCGCGAGAATAGAGAAGTTTTACGGTCGCTTGCAACTCTTTTGAAAAATCCTCTTGAACACTCGATGCAAACGGTCGGCGAGGGGCGTCTCTCACAGAACCAGACACGGGAAAAACGCCAACAATGTACTCCCTGTGATGAAGGCGACCCAAACAAATTCCTGCTGCATCATCGGAGTGCAATGCTGACTTCTAATGAAGGGAATTCCACTCTAAACCCCTTCCTCGGGCGAGCAAAATAACTGTTGATCGCCAGCCCAAGCTTTTCAGCCACTTAACCAGTACGCATGCATGTAACGACTCGCGGCTGTCGTATATAGCGCATTTACGACAAAAGTCGTAAATCGGGACGCTCCTAGCCGCGACGTCAAGCGGACTGAGTTGTTATTGCACCTTTATAAAATACCATGGGACACACGATCGTGAAATTAATATCATGATTGCATGTAATGTATCAGGAAAACTCCCCAGCGAACTTCATAATCAAAACAAAACGAGAAAGGTTGCAGAGAATCCCACAATGGAAAGAGATTAATCCGGTAGCTGGTTAACTAATGGGTAACTATTGCTCCGAAGACTGCATCTCTGTGGCATTGGTAAATGTCATTTGATCTCACTGTTTTTCCTATATCTGTGATTTGTGATAAGATTATATTATATTGATGAAAAACTATCTCACTTCGTTGTATTGAGCCTCATGTTACACCCTAGGGGCGAAAGTGATTTAATTCTGGTACATTTAATCCGACCAACATTCTCAGTCACGTTTATAGTACAGACCTGCCGCCATGCGGACGTTGACAGAGCTACAAGGCCTGGTAAAATCGCCACTGGAAATCAAGAACATTGAGCCACTCGGGAGAAAGAGTCAGCTGAAATGTTTTGCTAAGTTATGTCAGTATTCCAACCATCCTTAGGTAGGTAAGCAGAATGTTCAGCGTTCTTAGATTTTATAGCTTGAAACTTTCGCATGCTTTTCACATACTGCATTAGTATACTAGTATAAATGGTAGACTCAGGTGTCGCCTGGTTGCTGGTAGGGTCCACTTAAGTGGTCCAACTTGTTTCTCAGGGCACGCAAAATGGTAAATATTAGGCTATGACTTGGTGACTTGTATGCAAAGGATAGTGACCTCGTACGTCAAAGAGAAAAGTACTACCGCTTGCCACAAATCACCATAGTGGTTGGGGGATTTAAGGGATCATTTGAGGTGTGCCCAATGCAGAGGATAGCTCACTAAAGATCCATACGCAAACTGTCTAAAGAAGGGGAGGGCGGGGTGTACGTACATGTAACGTACCTACTCTTTATATAGAAGCTATCTGGCCATGTGAATACGTCTGTAAACTGCTAAAACACCTGAAATCGTGCAATGTGTCTCCAGTACTGTATGAGTCACCTGTAACGTTAAGCTTAATGGGACTCATCCTGTAGTCAGACCTAATGACCCAGAAAACGAGTAAGGCGAGTAAATGTACTAGTAATTATGACAACAGAGCAGGTCAATGCAAGATCACAAAGATCACTATTATCATTTACATTGTTTTAAAAGTTTAATTCTGAGTCGTTTTAATGGATATATATCATTGTAACAATTACCAGTAGCACAGAACTTTGGATGAATGGAAAACATTTTGTTGTGTAGTTTCAGCTGTCATGTCACACCACCTGCACGGTTAAGGTCGACGTCATGTTCAGGTGACGTCACATGGCGGATGGGGTGCAGACGACATCGCCCATCCTGCTTTCGTCACGCTACAAAAGATTCCCGCTCAGTCTCCTCACATGAAGGGCTCAGTGGTGCTACAGTCGTTATATTTTCTCGTAAGCACTGCTGTGGTTCACGCAGAGAAAAAACAAACAGTGAGTGTTATTTTATTGTGATTCAGTTGCCGGCTGAAGTTGACTGATGGAGAGCGAACAAATCGACGGAGACTCCCGGCGGCTGAAGGACTACTTCGCCGGCGCCGTCAGAACAGGGAACGGGATCGTGTTGGAGGAGCTTCTGAGCAACGGAATTTCTGGTACGTCAAATTTTCTATCTTCTTGCGTTACCATTACCTGCTCTCCCAGGCCAAGGTTTCAGAAATGGCTGGAAAGAGTAAAAGTTGGTCAAATAGAGGACATCCTATAGGAAGTTGGTCTTCCTTGCTTTGCGGCATTTGTACTTGTACTCCTGTATGTAGCGGGCTATTAACCCTCGTGGCATGCACCAATTTCTACTCACGGTTTCCAGCCACTTCAAGCTAAAGACTAGTAAAGGTTACGTTACTATCACTTGTCCAATGTTGAGCACCAGTAGGCCTGTTGCCTTTTTAGGTCATTTTCAAGTTTTAAAATCACACTTCCTGTAGGCATCGAGGTAGATCCTGTTCACTGACCCGTGGTGTGATATAACTTATCGTTGATTTTCTAAATGCTTCCTGTCTGGTGTAGGAAGAAAAGTGATTCTGCACTAATAATAAAGCAAAGCAACAAGAAGAACTCCATTGTATGTGAATTTCATGACGTTCTACACAGTGCATCGGAAGTATAGGTAGCATTGTAAGCAACTCACGTCTGTGTGCTTAAGTATTGATGAATACGGATATTGTTAGCCTTGAACACTATTTAGTTCATAAATCACACACCAGATGTCCCTGTTGTTTCTTACCGCCTTAACTTGCTATTATTATATAATGAATCTTTATTTGCATGTCCATGCCCATGGGGCTAAATGCATACATCAGAGTGTGATGTTACATGTACATCGTACTGAGTAAAATTTACAATCAAGTACAAAATGTATTTCATCTTCTACGCTACCAGAGTTGTTATTATTATTATTAAGACGATACCAAAGTCAAATTTGTCAATTCTCTGGCCATTTCTTCACCACGTAAGTTGAATCAACCCCACACTATCGCATAGTGTTATTCGTGGAGTGGAGGTGCCAAAATATTACGCCGCACGACAAGAGTGTTTTTAAAAGCTGTCAGTCATGTTTAATTTGATTACATTTTGGTATTTTGTGGTGGTGGCACAAAATGGGTGTGCCTTATGTGGGCTGTTTTAGCGCCCATATCAGAAATGTGAGACACTCATCGATGGCACAAATATGTCCAATGATGTTGAAAAGTGGAAGTAAATGACCAGAATCACACAAAACCATCTTCAATTGAGATATATAAATTTTGGTGCAAAAATGTTACATATTTTAGCTTTAATCCGTGAATAGTTTCATCAGGTTGGTAAGTCACTGAGTAAAGAGACTCTTTCTACACAACCAAGTCTTTTATTCAGCTGAGGAAGGGGGCAGACGGTCACCGAAACGTCGGCTGAATAAAAGACTTGGTTGTGCAGAAAGTCTCTTTACTCGCATTCAGCTTTAATATTTACAGAAAGTGGAAGGGTTCCTTGTAAATCTTCGCCAGCAAAGCTAAGCCAAGAGAAAGAAGGAGAAGAATATCTATAGTAACTATAGTTATATTAGAAGACGAACGCCATTTTGTAACAGAATGTGAACTGTATAGAAAAGAGAGAAATGAACTTTATATGTTTGTACAACACCTATTCCCCTATTTCGTGCACTTAAAGTAAGTACTGTAAAAAATCATATTCCTTATGCGACTAGACAACCCACCCATTGAAAAACAGATCTATGCTTTTATTTCTACAATAACTGAAAAGCGAGGAGAAGTTATATAACGATAGTTATTTACTTTTATATCTGTTAACCGTGTCCATTCATCTTGTTTTGTTGTGACCTGTACTTAGCCAAGTATGGCAGAAATGTGCAATAAAGGTCATCATTCATTCATTCTTATGTTCCGGTTTGTTTCAGCTTTAGACATGGGTAAAATTGACGGGATGTGCTGTGAGGAACATCTGACGATTTCCGGACACAGCGAAGCACTGGAAGTCGTTCTGAAACACTCCCCCGTTAAACAGTGGATCAGCGAGTACCACCAAATTCTGAAGAAACGTGAGTTGCATGATAACATTACCACAACCACAGTGTGCCTAATACAATTATCTTACTGAAGCCAACTGTGGTCTGTAAAAAGGCAAATTCCTTATTCGCGGTACTTTTTATGTTCGCGATTTTCGCGGTCACTTATGTACCGCGAACTTATCATAACCGTTAACAAATGATTCGCTGACTTTCCTTTTTTTCTGCACCTGCTGCCACCGAGAACATATATAATTCCGTGAGCATCTCCATTTTCTCAGACCGCAAACTTTCGCTACCGTGAACATTAAATGAATAGGTAGTTGGTCTACCACATGCAGTCTTATACGTGTAGTTTGTGAGCATTATCTGACAGATAGATAGATAGATTTTGTGAGCAAAAGCAGAACGTTCCACTAGTAGCGTAGCCTCTACCAGGCTTGGGGAGGCGGCTAGAAAGAGTAGAAATCGGCCAAATAGAGGGATAAGCATGCCAAGGGAGTTTGTCCGCTGAGACTGAACAGTTCACCGCACCTAAACTGTTCTCTCAACGGACAAACAGCCTTGGCATGCTTATCCCTCTATTTGGCCGATTTCTACTCTTTCTAGCCGCCTCCCCAAGCCTGGTAGAGGCTACTAGTCGCGTACATGTGACGAAAATAAACAGACATGGTAGGGCATTCGTTACAAACACGGTCCTTTGTATTTGGCTACGACCGTCAATGACGTTAAGTGACTAAACAGACAATGTAGAATTAGAAAGCTGATACTTAACTTGAAGCGCGGCGCTTTGCCCCCGTAATCAAATTTTAGGAAAGGTGCAGTGTTTACTTAACTTAAGGAGGCACTCACTGTACAGTTTCGCCAAAAAGAAGTTACTCAAGCAACTGGATATGATTTTGGAAACGGTCAGACCTTTCAGCTAGTATCCACTAGCTTTCGTCCGTGACTGAGAGGCCAAAGCAGAAATGCAGGTTTATAAGCACAAACTTTACATTGATATACAAAAAAAGTGAAGACAATTTTTTGGAAGTCGAAAAGGGAACGAAAGTCAGACAAGTCATGACAAGATAATCCAAATTAGTCAGACAGCTCCTGTTCTGCGGAACAGGAGCTTAAGTGTTATCTGTCCTCGGGGCTGGGAGCGCCAAAGTCAAGTGCCGGAGAGATCCACCCGTAGCCCACCTTCCCTGTTGAGGGTGGGGTTGTACATTCTTTCATATATTGCTTCTTTAACACCCCGTTCCCACCAGCGTGTTTCGCGGTCTAAGATATCCAGGTGGGCTACGGGTAGATATCTCCGGCACTTGTTTTTTGGCGCTCCCAGCCCCGAGGACAGATCCATAGACAACACTTAAGCTCCTGTTCCGCATAACAGGAGCTTTCTGACTAATTTGCATTATTTTGTCTTGGTCTCACAGTCACTGACGAAAGCTAGTGGATACTAGCTGAAACGTCTGACCGTTTCCAAAATCATATCCAGTTGCTTGAGTAACTGCTTTTTGGCGTATCGTATTACCTGGATGTCTAACCTTAATCGACGTACTGTAAAGTTCGTTTTGAAGAACAAGATGCAATTTCAGGGCGTCAAAGATATTCTGGATGAAGAAATCTGTCAACGATTAACACTTGCTGCCATTTCTTAGCACATTTTCCTCATTATTTTATAATCGAAGCGCTTGAAATAGTCACAAAAATAGTTTCTTTATTTTTCGGGTACCGCTACGAAACATTAACAACCAACTGACTTCAGTCAGCGACATCGCATTTTTGCCCTTACATGTATGAGTATACTATTGGATAGGGTTGATCAACTTACTACATTGAAAGAATGATCAGTTTTAAAATTGCATTGGATGCCTTCTATTGAAGATCGTGTCGTTTCCATGTATAACTGGCCTGTATTTCTGGCCGTTTCCCCAGACAATCCACGGGAATACCTGATCTGGCAAAAGAAGAACAGCTGCCGACCGGAAATGACGACCATGAACCACGAACTGGCCAATAGGAAGGCCGCTATGTTTGCCGCCATCCGGCACAACCGGCCGGCCTGCCTCGATCTCATCCTGACTCACGGGGTGGACTTCCGGGCCAGGGACTTCTTCCTCAACAAAGGCGTGCGGCAGCCCATGGCCACCGTGCACCTGGCAGCGGCGCTCGGTAAGCCACTCCGGAGCTGACGAACGTTGTAACACAATTTAAGAAGTGAAACGAGTTGAAGCATTGAGATCAGTATCAATACCTCATAGTCATACCTTCAGACACTTTGTTATTGCTTCGTACCACACGCCAACTCAGTTGTAGTTTGCTTGTTTCAGAAAGCTATGCCCCTTTCACGCTGCATATCTGACAAGGATCATTCCTGCAATAACAGAAAATGTTGCACTATTGACAGGATTATCATACTGCACTATTGAGAGGAAGAACTACCACCATAGCTCTCGTACACACACTCTCCAAGCAGAGGTTTGGGATGGGTGAAAAAAAATCCAGTGGAAAACAGAAACCCCGATAAAAAAGCCTAAAAACACGCCAAAAATAACCCAAAACCCAAACCTTAGCTTAACATAACATCTTCATACAGAATAAGCCCCATATGGCGAGATCTGATAGCATTTGATTTGTAACCATCCCATTCTTTTTCTGCGGCAGTATGAAGATATGTTATATGTGATATCTACGACTATACATTTTTACACAGGTATGTCGGACTGCATCGACGTTCTGATGCGGCACGAGACGAGAGCCTATGCGGACAAGTCCAACCGCGTGTCGGGAATACGATTCTACCGGCACACGCGCGAAATGGACGGCAACAACTGCTGGAAGACACCGATGATCTTCGCCGCAGAGAACGGCCACCACGAGACCATATCCCGACTGAAAAACCACAGCATCAACATAGACGGGACCAACACGTACAACCACCTGAGTTCCTGCATTAGGTTTGGAGCCGTAGACGCCATCTTTGTTTTGTGTCAACATGGCGCTACTTGCTACTCAAAGCCAACTGAAAAATTCACTCCGGAAGGTCCTCTCCACCACGCTATCAAAACCGGAAATATCCGGATAGTGGAAATCATGCTCAGAACGCTGGGAACAGTAGATTTCAGGCCGATGGTAACCGACCAGACAGATTTGCATATGGCAGAGTTGCTGAGGAAAATGTCGTCTGCACCGAGAACTCTGAGTCACCTCTGTCGTCACGTGATCAGAGGCATGCTGGGAGAAAAAAGGTGCTACTTTGGGGTAGAACTGTTGCCGCTTCCAAATAGACTGAAGAGCTTCGTCAGATTAGTTGAGTAATAGACATACATTCTCTATTGATTCGACAAAAGTAGAATTATAGTGATGGAGTGAGAAGTTGCCTATAACCAGTGAAAGACAGGTTAGATACATGAGTAGTATAGAGTAAGGTGGTCTGGGGAAAATTGCAAAAAATTCTGTTGACGGTCCAATAAAGTACAATTTGAATCGAATTCGTCTTTTTTTTTCAAGAAGAAGAACAAGGAGACGGTTAAATTGTTTATTGAATTCAGTTCAATAAGCTGTCTACTGTCTAATGGTTAAGTTACACGTGTACATGTACTTCTCCTTTGCTGAAATACTGAGAGGATGACTAGTAGATTTGTGATTGTTCTTTGATATCTATCCAAGTACTGTTGAACTAGTTCACAGTGATTGTGTTTTCAATGGACTCCATCATTTCATAGCAGTCTCAAACTTCTCGGAAATCAACATTCATACGTTGTTGCTGCATTTGTTATGAATTTATATCAGCAAATTAATTAAATAAACGCTTAGCCTGGTTACCATCCTATCTAGTCTATCTGGGCTCCCATACTCATGAGTGGGAGTCCGGTAAACTAATGCACTATAGGATGGCTGGCACCGAGGCTAGCATACCGTATGACCATTTCCACTGAATCCAAAATACTCGTACACAATGTATCTTATTTTCAAATCAACATGAGACGTTTTGAAAGGGCTAGACTTTGGTATGGATTACCATTCAACGTTATTCAAATGAATAATAGTAGTATCAGCAAAATTCTTATCAAGTACGTAAACGTAACACAAAAAAGTCTAGCGGTAATCCTATAGCGAGAACCAGCCGAGAGGGACGGTATTGGCCGCCGAGCCCCGTTGGCCTTCGAAGGGAGGACCGATAAATTAGTTATCCATGTGAATATTATCTGTTTTCAGACATTCTTTGTTCAATATATCTCCTATATGACGGTTTATCGATCCTGCTTTACGCAAGACAGAAGCAACAGCTGGTGTGTCTCTAGAGTCTAAAGAGAATCACCAGTATGTCTCTTGCCATGTGCAGTGACTATGCGAGACTTGAAAGTCAGCGACGCAGCGAAATGTCACAAAGCGTGTGTTGCGAAGCTATGTCATTTTGCTACTGACATATCAGTACAGTACAGTACAGTATTTCTGCTGTATTTGAAAGGTCCATGGACTGGTCGGGTATTGTCCAAAGTGAGGAAAAACCGGTGCATGTGTCACACTGTGACACACGCACACACGAGGACTTGAAGACAAAAGCTACCAGTCAAGACCATGGCTGTCTTTGTCAAAGGCGTGCGTCATGTTTACGTGTTTCAGCAACTGTCAATCGATAGACAGATAAGGACAAGGTACCGGCTGCTTCACACCACAGACAGTGAAGGTCGGTGCCTTTTGCTTCACTACTCAAAACAGATAACAGGATTCGTCGGGGTAGGACAAGCTTGAACCCGACAGCTATGCCGGTTACCAGGCGGCAGGTTGTGACCCTGTTTGCATCAGCCATGGGAGGGATGTACTTTGCTACCCTGCTCTACATCTTCCCCAAAGTGTTCAAGGACGAAGACTCAAGTCCATTGCCCAGAAGGTAAAAATCACATTGTGTATGTGTATATATTTATTAGGAGTTTAAATGATGTAAACTGTATCTCTGTTATATATTTTGCGTGCCTTGTACCTCTTCCCTCATGACTTCAATGAAAAGCGGCCTGTTGGCCAATTTCAGCTTCTCGTGAATAAACAAAAGTTTAAAGAGACAGTATAATGTTAGGACCTTTTAGCTGTAACAGATGTGTGTAACTGTATGCATGCAAAGCATGTGTACTAGATGTGTATAACATGCAAACGCACGTGTATTTGAATGTGTACTAGCTTAAGCTCATACATGTATCATTTCCATGGAAATGCAAATAGGACATTCTTACAGTCAATAATTTAGTATATGAAGACCAAAGAATATTTGGCACTTTATATAGAGACAAAAATTTTGATATGAAGTGCCAGATTGGCCATAAACTGGTACTCAGGGAGCTAGCATCCTACTAACCGTTATAACTGAGAAAATACTCCAGTTCTTGAAATCCAATGCAACTTGTCCATCAATATGGTGTACTCTAGCTTAGTACGACGTGATGCACATTTTACAACGTCTGAGGACTTGTTTTCATACAGGGAAGGACAAAGCAGTCACCTTTCTGTGGTCAGGAAGGTGTACCTACAGGACGACAGTACCGGAAAATCCACCATCACTCCGGAGAAGATTCCAAGCGAAAGAACTGAGAACTCTACACAGCTTTCGATTTTGTCTCCATTCAAGGTGTTCGTGTACGACCTTCCGCCGGAATTCAACTCTGACCTTGTCCACTGCATCCAGGTTAAGAACAGGTGCTACCAACTCCAGGACTACGGCATGGGGTTGGAGTTCGCTCGCTACGGGAACGTGTCGTTCCGAAGCACGCACATGTTCGCGCTCGAAGTCATCCTCCACCGCAAACTCCTGTCCAGTTCGTACCGAACGCTCGACCCCGAGAAGGCAGACGTGTTCTACGTCCCCTACTACCCCGCACTTGCGGCCGCTTGCGAGCCGATGAATGTTATCGACAACCCGGTACTAGACAGAGAACTGTGGCAGTTCGTCAGGGTAAACTATCCTTATTTTGACCAGGGAAAACCACAAATCATGGCTCTGGGCAGAATAGAGAGGGAGCATGCTGATGTCACGGGAGGGATCCTGAAAACTCCGGAGTCTCGCTCGGTAACGTTCGTCGGCATCGAACACGAGTCGGACCCGAGGACGCTGAGATACATCCGACGGAGCGGGTTGTCAATGGTGGTGGCACCGTACCCTTCCTTCGGACATCTCATTTCTAACAACAACGACTTTGGTGTAGAATCAAGGCACGAAAAAACTTCGGACATGTCAAGGGACGTGTTTGTGTTGTTCGCAGGGAGCAGGCGAATGTCCCACGACATAAGGCGGATTCTCAGCCGACAGCTCAGCCCAACATCAGAAAAATATTCCTCGTCTTCTTCACTGAACAACAAGCAGAACGTGTGGTTTATCACGCAAGAATGTAGACACAGAAGCTGGCAGGGGGATCTGGTCGAGTGGATGCACCACTCTGTCTTCTGTCTCCAGCCTCCAGGCGATTCGCCGACTAGAAAGTCGTTCTACGACGCCGTTCAGTGCGGATGCATCCCTGTCATATTCAAGCTAGACTACGAACCGGTGTACCCGTTCGACGACGTTTTGGACTACTCCAAATTCACGGTCAAAATCACAGACGACGACTTCTTTCAAGAGAAACGGTCCATCAGCGACATCTTGCGGGACGTCCCACAAGCGCAGATCACTGCAATGCAGGGCGAACTCCGACAGGTGGCACCCCTGCTGCAGTACTCGTACCCGCCGTTACCAGAAACGAAGGACGCGTTTGATATGGTTATGAACGAAATAGGACGGACAAGGGGAGGCAAAACTTACGTCAGACGCCGCTATGGCAATAAAGTAAGGAAAGTTGCGGGGAGGGGGGCAGGAGGCTGGATTGTGGAGTAACGGAGCCAAAAATACTAAAAAGCTCGATTTTTAGTGGAGATGTTTTCATGAATACTAAAGCACTATATTTGCTACAGCATAGACCACAAGACCGATAGAATTAATGGGGTTACTACTTAGCCTCGGCTGGTCCGAGGGTAGCACATCTGAATGTCTTTGTAAAGTAGTCCCAATGATGGGCTCTTCTTGTTGAATGCATACACCTTTACAATATCGATTGATAGGTTTGCAGCTTCTCTTATAGAGCTTACAGTATGGTCGCAACATGTTTTTGGAAACGGAGTTCAAACGGTCGAAAATTGATGCGCGCGCGAATGTCATCCATATAATGGAGTCAATGTGGCCTAATATAGTATCAACTAAATGCGTAGAAAGAATACAATATGCATGGGATATTAGTATCTTTATTAGTCAATGTGATTAGTCTGATGTCATTGTGAGTCCACTTTGTGGTCACGATTTCCAGGTTACTGTCGGCAGATGACGCGTCATGGCGCACAGATAACGCGTGATGACGCGTCACGCAAGTGTTGTACACTCTAAGCGGTGGTGTCGGAGCCGAAGGTTTGCTGGTACTGGTTCTGGATGGAGGCCACGATGGTCTGGGCGTCCTGGATGTACGGGTCGGCCACGTTCAGGATGTCCTCTGTGGCATGATCATGGTTGAAAAAACAACATATATTACTTTCACAGACGTCAACTAGCGAGTTTTAGCGGTACTGCAGCAAGGGACATAGTGAATAGGAATGTCTTGCCTAGCCTGGTTGCCAGACCCATAGCACACCAGGCCCAAAGTTATCGTCGCACACTGGATAACTTTGGGCCTAGTGTGCTATGGGTCTGGCATCCAGGCTATGCCTTGCCATGCCACAATGTTAAATAGATGTACGACTGAGCTTCTGTTGTAAGCCAAAACTGCACTTCCTCTAACCTTCCTTTACCATTCAGTGTCCTGTACCTAATCTCCAAAACACAGCTGTGGGCACAACTTGATATTACAGTACATTCATATGGTTCCAGAGGTAGAAGTAGTGCATAACAGAATCTAACCTGATTACCAGACCTATTTGGGGCCCTATTTTAGCCCTCGAGTCTATAACGTCTCCGCAGATAGGAAAGGATATAGACTCGGAAGCTAAAATAGGTCTGGTGACCAAGATGGGCAGCATCAGCACAATCATAGGGTAGATACTAGTCTCGCTCTCTGAGCCGAGAGGTCTGTACTCACGGTAGGTCTGCTGCAGCGAAGCCTGCACGTTGTTGACCAGGGCGGTGCCGTGGTCCAGGACCTGCTGACCAACGGTGGTGGCCGCGTCAACAAGCTGTAATCACACCATTCCGTTATCAACCTCATTATTCAATGTCAGAAGTGAGTGACTTGAAAAACATCATCAAGTATTATCCGTGTATACAAGCGGATATAAAGGAAAAGCAGATCGTATGTCTATACCGGTTGATAACTGTTGTAAAATAGAGTAGTATAAAGACTGTGTAAAGGCTGGGGCCGCCTGTATATAGAATGATCCTGTCAATAGTAAAAAATGTGCACTACTGACAGGATCATCACGTCAATAGCAGAAAATTTTGCACGAAAAAAAGCACTATTGATGATACTGTCAATAGTGAAACATCAATAGTGCTATTTTTTGTTATTGCCAGGATGATCCTTTCAAAAGTGCAACAATTTCTGTCATTGACAAGATGATCCAGTCAATGGTGTAACATTTTCTGTTATTATAGTACAGCATTCTGTCAATAGTGCAACGTTTTCTGTTATTGAGATGATGATTCTTTCAACAGTGCAAAATTTTGTGTTATTGACAGGATAGCTATTCCCCCGTGTACATGTATGCCTGCGGTACCCTACCTGGTTGAAGGCCAGTGCGGCAGCGTCAATGGCGGGCTGGAACACCGCAGCTGCGCCGGCGGCAAGGTCGTCAAAGAACCCGCGGGCACGGCGCTGGTGGGAAGGAACCAGTGGTTAGTATAACGCAGACTAGATCTTCAGTACACTCTTGATCTAGTCATCAACTTATTTTTAAAGTGTGCAAGAGAACTAGGGGTTCTAACATTTACTTGCTAGAATTGTTTTCTTAAAGAAGTGAGGGTTTTTCCAGAGAACCGTTACGTTAAGCCCCTGTATGTCACACACTGAGAACCCCCCACCCCCTATCACGGACCAACCGAGGTTGGCTTAAGGTCGGAAGATGCCTGATTAGATTTAGTCCACGCCTAACTTTTGATACGAATCGAATATGAATTTGACCCACCTCCTTGCTGACGGCGTTAGCGAGCTGCTTGAGGAGCATGTTAGCCTTGTACTCCAGTCCCTGCCGCCCGATCAGCTGGATACCCTTCATAGACGCACGGACTGGAAGGTAATATGTGATATGACATATCTGGTTAGTAGTTCAACAGGACGGCTAAGACTATGTAAAAAGTATTGGATGCACGATAGTCTTCATTAGATAATAGTTACTATTTAGTATCTTATTGGTGTCTTCGGATAATGATTTTGGAAATGACTTTATGTACAGAAATGTAAATCTTCTAGATCTGTCACACTCACACAATCAAAACCTTCTCCCGGTCGACCACCGACCACCAACCGAGGTTAGTGGTATGTTGGAAGCAGTCTGTCCAGATTTAGGCCACGCCTCCCGAATTTGACTGTCTAGCACGCCCCAACCACTGCTGACCTACTGCCAACCACTAGCCAACCAGTTTCCAACCATGACCCAGCCTGCCACCCACTCAAAAATGTTTTAAAACATTTTGAAACATTTGGTTGGCGCAGCCGAACAGTTGCCAACCACAACCGACTTTGCCCAACCTACTCCGAGCCGTTGTTGTGGGGAGTTCGGCAGTGTTCGGGAGGCCATATTCGGCTATGTGTGACGGGGGCTTAAAGATAATGTGTGGATAAAGTTTTTTCCTTGTACTCACTTCCCTTGGTGGCGGGCCGCGGTTCCGCGAACAGAGTGTTAACGGCAGTGGTGAGGGACTGCTGCACGTTCTGGATGGTCTGAGTGGTGTGCTCCAACAGGGTCATCACTCCATCATGCAGGATCTGCCCGATCTCAGTCTGGAACTCAAGCTACAATGAAAACGTGTTGAAGATGAATATCATTTTCTTAGGACATGTCCAGCCTACACTGTAGATAAACGAAATGAATATGATCACACGTAAATCTAGTAAACCTTTGCCAAAGACAAGCATAGACATTTTCAATCTACTTATGCAATGCCCCGACTCCACATCTACGTATCTAGGCCAATTTGTATCTGGCGCCTTTAGAAAAGAAAGATTTGTGACAGACAAAAAATGTTTAATTATAACGTTCACCATGTCAATACGCCATTTACGTTCATATTTATGTGGTCATAGTTTCAAGGAATAGACTAGTGTAATGATCACATTGCCATTGTTGTCATACATTCTACCCTGTAGAGGGGTCAAGGGTCACGCCCAGCAATGGCTGCCATTTTGGGGATGTCCCAGCACTGGGGAAGAATCTGATGCCATCCTCAGTGGGGGAGTCCCAAATGGCCAGCTTTTCAACATTGCTGGATAGTTTGGACAGGGCTTAAAGTTATTTTGAGTTCCTTTTTTGGTTTTTGTGTATTAGTCAGACATAATGTGACAAGCATCTCCAACAGTGAGTATGCCCCCCTCCCACCCCTACCAGCTTTTGTTTATGAGTTATCAGATGTTTATTCTGTTTTCTCCCCATACTACAATTTACAATATTGTGACCCTTGACCTGAAAGTTGAGGTAGATCACTACCTCAGGCGCATTTGAGTTCTACTCTCCTTGCGGCAAGAGGGCGCATGTCAAGATTGACAATGGCGGCCAGTGATCACAAGCAGGGAGTCCTGAGACCTGTGCTGGACTTCATCGCTGGATGGAGACGGTGAAGGGCGGAAGTAGGTGCCTTGAAGGATTACCTACAACGGCCACTGGACTACGTGAAGGAAAACACACATGAAAAACCATGCTGTAGGAGTTGCGACCACAGTAGTTATATAGCAATGGAAAAGACAAGATGGCAAGGCAATACAACACTAGGGTTGAAGTCCCTAATCAAGCTCTCTTTGCTGAACTGGATTCAAGGAAATCACAGGACGGCTTACCCCCAAATCCGCAAGGAAGGGGCAGGCTTGATTATGGTTCTGGCAGGGAGAGAAGAATGGTGAACTGCAGATCTATAACTACTATATCAACTCTGAATGTAAGGACAATCAAGGAGACACAGAGGAGAGAGGAATTGTCAACAAATATGGCCATACAAGGCATTGATGTACTGGGAATACAGGAACACCGCATTGTGCATGAGGATGAAGCCCGGTATGAAAGCATACATGGTAACACCCTAATAACTACGACAGCAAGTAGAAACCTGGCTGGTGCAGCAGTTGGCGGGGTGGGGATATTGCTGAGCACGAAAGCTTTCAACTCACTGGCAAAGGTGACTCCATTCAACGGGCGAATACTGATTGTAAGCTTCCAGGGAAATCCAGTAACGACCATAATAGTTACATACTGCCCTACCAACGTAGCAGATGAAGACATCATAAGTGAGCACTACGATGGTCTCAGGAGGGCAATACAGTCTGTCCCAGCACACAATCTCCTGATGGTTGTGGGAGACTTTAACGCCAGGCTAGGAGATGAAGAGGCAAGGTACACACTACACAGTGAAACTAATAGAAATGGCAGGATGCTATTAGAGCTGACCAGCGAGCAAAACCTGATTATCTGTAACACAAGATTTCAGAAGAAAGCGGGGAAACTGTGGACCTACATGAGCCCGGGAGGAAATAGGTACCAACTAGACTACATTCTGATTCGTAGGAAGTGGCAAAACAGTATGCTAAACGCAGAGGCGTACAGCACTTTTGCGAGCGTAGGCTCTGACCACAGGATTGTTTCAGCTCGAGTAAGGCTCAGTCTGAGAAAGAAGAAGGCTGAACCAAGGAAGAAACGGTATGACTGGGGAGCCCTCAGAGTGAGCACAGACCTTCAGGAGTGCTATGCCATAGAAGTATGCAACAGATTCCAACCCTTGTACGAAGAAGGTGAAACCGCGACAGAGAGGTATGAGAGGTTTATAACAGCAAATGAGGAAGCAGCAGAGGAAGTGATCCCTGTCAAGAAAAGAGAAAAGAGAGCAGAATACTCCAGTGATCCACGAGTGACACAGGCCAGGGATGAGGTCAACAAAACGTACGAAATATTCTTACAAAATGGACATGAAAAGAACAGGCAAGAACTCAAACAAGCCCGAAGACGACTAGAGGAAACATATACAGAAGTCGCAGAGGAAGATCTTGCACAGAAAATTAGGAAGGTTGAAATGTCACATGAGAACAACAGACATGGGCAGAGCTGGAAGTTGATAAAAGAGATAACTAACAGGAATGAGGGACAGAAAAGCTTGCTGGAAGGGAACACACAAAAAGAGAGACTGGAAAGATGGTATAGCCATTTTAAGAACCTCCTTGGAAACCCCCCAGACATAGTAAATGAAGATGAAGAGATTCCAACTGTCCTGGAAGACCTAGACATAAAGGTGGGCCCCTTTGATAGGGAAGAATATGAGAATGCAAGGAAGTCACTGGTTGAGGGAAAAAGTAGCGGTGAGGATGGGATTCCGCCTGAAGTGCTGAAAAGGTGTAAAGATCTGGACGGGATAATTTTGGACTTCTGCAACAAGGCACTGTGCGAGGGTGAGAAGCCGGCACAATGGAGTACCTTAAACATTGTGCCCATACCAAAATCCGGGAACCTCAGGCTTCCAGGGAACTACCGAGGCATCAGCCTGAGCTCTATTGTTGCCAAGACATACAATAGAATGATTCTTAACAGAATAAGACCGGCTCTGGATAAACATCTGAGAAGGAATCAGAACGGCTTTAGGGTGGGAAGATCAACTGTGGGACATATTCTGGCACTCCGCAGATTGATTGAAGGTATCAAGACCTACAACTTGACTGCAATAATAACATTTATTGACTTTAAGAAAGCATTTGATACCATACACCGAGGCAAGATGCTTAAGATTCTTCGAGCATATGGCATACCTGAGCAGCTGGTGGGAGCCATAGCCAGTATGTACCAGGGCACAAAGGCGAAGGTCATCACCCCGGATGGAGAAACGGAGCTCTTTGAGTTGTACGCAGGGGTGCTGCAAGGGGACACACTTGCTCCATACCTTTTTGTGATAGTCCTTGGCTATGCACTGAGGGCTGCTATAGAGGGTGGGGAGGAAGAGCTTGGTCTGCATATAGAGAAGAGGAGGAGCAGAAGAGTGGGCCCGAAGGTAGTCACTGATCTGGATTTCGCTGACGACATAGCGCTTCTGTCGGAGGCAATCCAACAAGCTCAAGTGCTGCTAGGGCGTGTGGAGAGTTCAGTGGGAGAAGTCGGTCTTCGCATGAATGCTGGAAAGACAAAGTTTATGGCTTTCAACATTCCGGCTCCATACAACCTCACAACAAATGATGGTACCAACCTAGATGAGGTAAAGGACTTTAAGTACCTGGGGTCTAGAATGGAGAGCACAGCAAGGGACATCACTGCAAGGAAAGCAGCAGCCTGGCAAGCTTGCAACAAGCTGAAAAACATCTGGAGATCGAACCTCTCACGTGGATTGAAGGTGAGGCTCTTCCTCTCGACTGTTGAGGCAGTCCTCCTGTATGGATGCGAGGCATGGACTCTAACCACCAAGCTAGAAAAGCAGTTGGACGGATGCTATACGAGGTTGCTAAGAACTGCACTCAACATCCACTGGTCACAGCATGTTACGAACAGGGACCTTTACGCCGACCTACCAAGACTCTCTAGCAAAATTAGATCAAGAAGGCTTAGGTTTGCAGGACACTGTCATAGGAGCAGAGAGGAGATTGTGGCCGAGCTGGTACTGTGGACTCCCAAGCATGGGAGGAGGAAGGCCGGCAGACCGGCTGCAACCTACATAGACTGCCTAAGGAGAGACACTGGCCTGGAGGTGGACTACTTGGGTCAAGTGATGGAAGATAGGGAGTGTTGGTCAGCCATTTTGTCTCGAGGCCAGGGACACCAGGACTCGACATAAGTCAAGTCAAGTCTACCCTGTACAACTGTCGAGCAATAAATATATATCATTTATTAACATTCGTGCTCTTGCTGCTGCCATTTCTGTGGGTAAGGCCAAGTTGATTTGATTACATGGATGGCATCCCCTGGGAATGGAATCATAAAACTGACGCAAGCGTGCAAATAAAAAAGTTTGGAAAAAGTTGCCTTCATTATCTACGTATACCTGGTCATGAAAGTTGAACAAAACTTTGGCTGTGAATAAAAGAGTTGGTTGTGTAAAAAGAGTCTCTTTACTCAGTGACTTACCAACCTGATGTAACTATTCACGGATGTAAATTTGTCCACAAATATCTCAAGAAGAGAGAAGATGTAAATCATACTACCATATATTTTAGGTAATATATGTATATAAAACATAGCATAGTTTTCCTATTACTCTCTTGGAGCTAACTTAATTACTGCATTTAGCCCTATTGGGGCATGAATATATGAAGCACAAGACATTTAATATTCAGTAATGAGGTTGGTGAATGGTCACCTGAATGCTGCAAAAAGTTGTGTATGTAGTGAATGTCAGCTTGGATTATTAAATTAGCAAGGCCCTTAAACACACACTCTTTCTGTGCCAAGGCCACAAACCTTAAGCTTAGAGCATTGTTTACTTTGCCAGGTAAAGTCAAACACCTGATCAGTGTAAACAAACGGCCTGAATACAAATGCCATTCAGCCGAGGTGCGCAAGGCCTAGGAAAAAATGCTGTGTTTCCTGTTTCCCGACCGACCCTGGAAAAAACTGCCAACCCTAGCCCTTTTTTTGGGTGGACCCCACCTGCGCGGGACATAAATACTTTTTTGAGCGGATCAACCTTTTCTAGCTCCATGATCTGACACCTGAGTGATAAAACGTTGTAAAACGTGTTTTTTAAACATTGACGTTGAATGTAAAATGCCCTCATGCAAGTATTTTACTTTCAATTGCTAATTTACTGCATTGTACAGTTGGACCCGTATAGACATAAAAAAAATAAAACAAAAAAAAAAAAGACTAGTACTAACCTACCCATTGACCATAATTTTTTTCACGACTCTAACAAGAAACACAACATTGTTTTCCCTAGGCCTAACTGAAACTCTAGACGGCTCAGACGTCACGGGTTTGAAAAACACAGCAAAATGGCGGCTGCACCGTCTAGCTTGGGGACACAAATCCGTGAAGAACTGTCCTGCAGCATCTGCCTGGAGCTGTTCACCTGGCCCAAGGTGCTGCCCTGTCAGCACACCTTCTGTCAGGACTGTCTACAGGACCTTGCTGGGAGGGGAGGGACCTTCCAGTGCCCAATCTGTCGTCGACAAGTCACACTGCCACCCCAGGGGGTCACAGGATTGCCCGACAATCTCATGGCAGCAAATATGTGTGAAAGATTCCAACAGCAGACTACACTGTCAGTGGAAACAAGGGAACAACAACTCAAGTCTGCAAACAGGTGCAGCTTTCACCCTTCTGAGATGCTCAGACAGTTCTGTAAACAATGTCAGATTCCAATTTGCGAACAGTGTTTTGAAGAGGCTCATGACAATCATCTCACAACAACTGTCAAAAAAGCTGCACAAGAAAGGAGTTCCACAGTCCAGGCCTTGATCAATGATGGACGAAATATCATGGAAAGTTACTTAAGCTTCCTCAGAAGTCTGAAGGAAGAAGAGAAAACCCTCAACGAAAAGAAACAGCAGAGAGACAACAGCATAATTCAGGCCTACAACCAAATGGTGCAGAAACTCACCCAGAGAAAAGACCATCTCTTGGTTGAATCGGAGGAAAACCACACAAAAAACTTGGACAGCATACAGACTGAAAGGGACCGATTGTTGGCAGATATCAATGAACTGTCTGCTGCCTGTGATCGAGCAGAACAACAACTGCAGCAGGGAGGGGTCGAGTTTCTCAGTCAGCAAACCGCTCTGACAGAGGTGGTAGGAAAGTACAGAGGAAAAGCAGCACCAACTCCTGTACAAACCCAGCCTGCTGTCTTTCAGCCCACAGACACCCCCGTGCCAGTATTGGGACATGTGACGGTCCAGTCTCTCCCATCTGCACCAATCCCAGCAGCACCAGCAGCAAGGGGCACAGGTCATCACCATGGTAACCAAAGGCAACAGAAGCATCAGCCTCAGAAGGTGACATTTGGTGGACGGGGATCAGAAACGGGACAGTTTCCATTTGGTATTACATTGTCAGATGAAGGGGAGATCTTTATGGCAGACGTTTGGAATCAGAGTATCCAAGTCTTCACCCTGCAGGGACAATTTGTCCGACAGTTCCCAACAGTCGTGTCAGGTGAAGAGAAGATGTACCCACTTGATGTGGCCCTGGCTGGGGAGGGGAACCTGTGGGTGGTGGGGTACACAGACTCTACTAACTTTGCTGTGCAGTACAACAAACAGGGCAGGGCGCAGAGGAAGTTTGACCTACAGAAGACAGGGTGGATGAGAGGAGTTGCCGTGGACACCAGGAGGAACCACATCCTCATCACACAAGCCACGGGAGACGAGAACAACCGACGAGGTGAAGTTTTGGTGTTCAGGCCAGATGGGACACTTGTGAGAACTGTAGGTCAGCAGCAGGGGATGAAGTTCCCACGGTACATCACTGTGGACGGGGAGGGGAACATTCTTGTGTCAGACATAGACAATCATGGTGTCTATGTGTACAACGACGAAGGGCAGTTTCTGTTCCAGTTTGGAGGTAAGGGAAGTGGTGAAGGTCAGCTGAAGGATCCCCGTGGCATCTGTACAGACGGGGCAGGTAACATCATCGTGGCAGACAAGGGAAACAGCCGTGTGGAGATGTTTGACAAGACAGGGAAATTTCTCAAACACATCACTATAGGCATGAAGGGGCCTTGGGCTGTTGCCATGGCAAGACAGGGACAGCTGGTAGTAACTGACTGTGTGGAGTGTAACGTCAGCATATTCCAGAACTTCTGAATAATCTAAGTGAGGTGAAACTTAAAAGACTTGGTTGTTGTTAAAGAGTATGGCGAATACTGGCGGACTCTTCATTTTCATTTCTTCTCATTTTTTTCTAGAATTCTTTTCCTTTGGAATTGATTTTGTCATTCTACGACATAAGTACATTTTCCAATATTTGTTTTTCAATTTCCGACATATATTTGCTTATATTACAGCTGCTTTGTACGATTTACAGTATGGTCAAAAGTTTTTTTTGGAAACAGACAGAAATGCAAGTTCTATTTACATTACGCGTCTTCAGCTTTGGTGGTGGCATGAAAATATGTACAAAACTTGAGTGTGCCGTCACCATGTACTGTCATTCAATGCAGTGCAATACAAAAACCTGTAACTGTCTCCTCTTTCTACCCGACACCAGAGTGTTGAGCTCGTCGACGCCATCGATAGTCGATTTTACAGTCAACATGTGTCTACTACCCATTATCAGCTCCAGTTTACGTTTTTTAGTACCCTATAGCCACAAAACACACTTGTGTATGTGTGTGCACTCACTACGATACCTGTAACCTGGTATCCAGTCTATCGTGGTTGGGGCAGGCTGTTTCCGGGGCTCTCATATAAGTTTTCCCCCGCCCAGTACAACAGACCGCCCCGCAGGAGTTTTACACCTGCAGGAGCTCTGCTAATAGAGTTTGGCACGCCGTGAAAAGCCTACCGGGGGAACCTCGTTCAGGCCGGCGGGGAGGAGATTCAGCAGCCCCGGAGAAAACCCGCACCAACTACGATAGACTGGATACCAGGTTACCATACCTGTCTCCTCTTCCTGCCGGACACCAGAGTGTTGAGCCCGTCCCCGATCCCGTCGATGGTCTGTCCCACGGTCTCCTGCAGCGCCGCGCCGGTCTCCAGCACGGTCTGCTCGTCCACCCACCCCCAGTCCGTCAGCACGCCGCCGACCGTCTCCACCGCCGTGCCGGTCAGCTGCTGGGCGGTCTGGCCGATGATGGGCGTGTAGGTCTCCAGGAGATCTGTGGGGTAGGAAGAGACAGGTATGATTTCATTGGGTATACAAGTCTATGCATGTGCCTGTAACATTGTATATTATTGTATCATAGAAGTTAATCTGTGTTGGTAGTTACATGTTTGGAGTTAAAACTTCAGATCCAACACAAAGCGTTATCTCACGTATAGCTTTCGACCTGGTCTTGCTAAGTAGACTGACCCAGACCTGAGGAAGACCAGAGTGATTGGTCGAAAGCTCTAGATGAGATACCTGTTTGTGTTGGATCTAACGTTTTAACTCTAAACATGTATATTATTGTGTTGTAGTTTTCATGACTGTATTTTTAAATGTGTGTGCCCAGGGATATCTCAAAAACAGATCTGTATATCTGAGGTGAAATAAATAAATAAACTTGAAACTTGGTAGTGTGATCACATATGGCAAGTTTAAAGGCGTCAAAACAAAAATATTCTGGATGAGGATATATTCTGGATGTTGACATTTACTACCACTTCATATATAGCACATTTTCGTCATCAGTTTATACTTTTTGTAGTTTTTGCATTTGGAGTAGCCCCCAAACTACGTGAAGTCTCTCTTTAGTTTTTTGGGCACCACCCATGATAGCTAGAACCAGCCTACGGCACAAAACAAGCACAGTGTCCGTCAGTGACATTCCATATTGACTCTCAGATATCAGTATGCTGTGAGATAGGATTGATTCAACTTACTACAAAGAATGGCCAGAAAATTGCATCACTGCTATATATAGGTTTCAGTACTGTGACAAACAACTTTGAAGAGGTTTTGAGAACACCACAAGTTAAGAAGAAGCAAAGACAGCTCTAGCAATGCAATCAGTTTCAGTTAAAGCGGGACGTAGTCAGTACGTACCTTGGGCCGTCTGCTGTGCAGAGCCGAGAAGAGGGTCGATGAAGGTCTCGTGGATTGTACCGAGGAGACCCGAGATGAGTCCCGCGTTCGCACAGGCGAAGAGCGCGCATAGTACCAGCACTGTCTTCATCTGTAGGACGGGAAGGTAAAATCCTTATGAATGCCATCACTAATGAACAAGGTGTCCACAAGCTTTAAGGCTATTTTCTTGCAAGCAAAGCAATGGAAAGCATTCTAGGCTATGTAGCTCAAACGAAGAAATGCGATCATTCTTTCATTTCAAAATTGTCTGGTAGCCGTGTGTCTGCACATATGGGACGACCATTTTAAGGCATCCAATGCAATTCAGGACGGCAAAAGTAAAAATATTATGGATGAGGAAATCTGTAACACCCATGAACACCCATGGATTTTTGTCCGATAGATATCAGCCATATGGTAAAGAATTGTTTCAACTTACAACATTAAAACGATGTCCAGAAAATTGACATTAAAATATCCAGTTTTGCCGCCCTGAAATGCCATTGGAAGCCTATATATATTATTCTATGCATTGGATGCCTATTTCATTCTATGCAACATAATGCTTGCAGTTTATGTATTGCGTAAATAATACCTTGTCCAAATAGTTCGCTTTCGTACGAGAGAGAGGGAGAGTGAAATCGGCCTGTCTCACGGTTCAGATTCCCGCCAAAAGCTGCCCATTTCTCCGGCGGTTACATTTATAAGGCCACAGCAAGTAATTTCTATGGATGACGTCCACTGGAGACCTTAAATCTAAGTGCGAGAGCGCAAAAAAAAGACAAGAAGGGCCGAACAAAGCAAGATGCCTAGATCTGAAATATACTAAGGGATGACAAATGTTAGGACACAAATTGAATGACAGAACACAGTGTAACAACAAACAGGTCTTTTATTCGTCACGAAAACGGCAATAAATCAGTGGAACAGAAGTTGTCGTCCTGTCCTGTTTCTTTCCTTTATTCACATCTTTCCTTATCCCACTGTCGTGACTCTTTGGTCATTGTTACAACAAGCGGAATCTCTTGTTGAATGCCAATATCAATGCGTGCGCGGACATCATCCATAAAAATTACATGGTGTGGCCTAACCAACGTTTGTGCCGACCGTCCAAAGTTCGCCCTGACGCAACGGTGCCGTACCTCACGCCATCGGGCCGACATCCGAGGACAAATACAGCTGTTTACTTTCACAGTCGGTCTTTCCGGACGCAACATAGTTAGTAGCTCATGTGTCCTTGTCGGTATGATGTACAGCAACCGATGACTCGTAGCTGTATGTAGAATATTGATATACGAATTTCGTCACTTTACTCAGGGGAAAATGAGTATGTTTGTTGTCAGTTCATGCGTTTGTCAGCGTTGGTGGCATGGTGCCGTCACCATGTCTTGTAATAATGTCATAAATATATAAATATAATATTCATTCTTCAAGCTGACCAACATCTCGCACACACAATCATCTTGAGCCACATAGTTTCTGTTTAGAACTTTTAATCAGTTTGTCAATAGCTTGTAGCCGATTTATCAATTATCATGAATTCCTCTTAAACTCTAGATCATAAATGTCTTGTTCAACTGAAGGGATTATCGATTTTGTAAAGTTATATTCATCTTAGTATGCGTTTACCTCTCCATTGGGCAACAAACCGTAGTTTTGATGCCCGATTCCACCACTGTAAGAAACATCAGAAACAATTTAGTCAACATGAAAACGTTTGGGCTGTATGTGAGAAACTTTTTGCTAGGTGCTGGATGTCAGAAAAACTGGATGGGACAGAAAACGGCATCCTCCCTACCATCGACTAAGCTGTCAGGAATATTCTACTATGTTTTACTGCCTGCATTAAACTCTTCCTTCAAGTACATCTTAAAGCATGCGTAAAGGCAAACGTGAAGGAAGAAACCGCACATTTAAGCATGCATTTCTTCGCTTCATTTTTTGCAGTGAAATTTGAATTCTAATCATAAGTTTGTTTAATAGGACAACCCAACCCAAGGTTATACATGGTTTATTTTATCTCACACAACGTGTACCCAGCTGCTACGTCCCACGATCCTGCAGATTCCAATATAGCCTCTACAAGACAGTTTGCCACTCCCAAACTGTTCTCTTAGCGCGGACCAACTCCCCTGGCATATCATCTGTCTACTTGGCAATTTTCAACCCTTTCCTATCGCTTCCCGAAGCCTGGCAGAGGCTAACCACAATACAGTGTTAAACATTACTGCCAAGAAATTTGTTACATGAAGACGTAGGTATTAAAACTTATCCTATGCATTACTTGATTATAACATTGATCAGCCAAGTGCTCTATCGATTGTTAGATTCACTGATAGATAATAACATTTATTTATGGACTGTGCTGACAGAAAAAATCCACCTCCACACACCTGTTAGGGGAGGCTCCCTGAATATCACTGCAGTACCGATAAAATCCGCTGTTTGGTACCTGTTAATTTGTTTTTTTTTAACCATGACAATGCCACAGAGGACATCCTGAACGTGGCCGACCCGTACATCCAGGACGCCCAGACCATTGTGGCCTCCATCCAGAACCAGTACCAGCAGACCTTTGGCGACGATACCATCGCTTAAAGAAACAAGCATCGACGGAAACGAGTTGCAATAAGATACAACATCGAGATCTTGTATCTGAAACGTCTGACGTTTTCAAAATCATATCCAGTTGCTTGAGTAACTGCTTTTTGGCGTATCGTATTACCTGGATGTCGACGTCTAACCTTCATCGACGAGATCTTGTATCGATGACTAAAATTGAGTAAGACAAACGTCTGCTTTTCAAGTGTCATCTTTTGACGATGAGTGTTACAAAAATGAATACCATTGCTAAGACAGGTTACAAGCAATGTCTATGACCAAGTTGAAAATAGATATCTAATTGAGGGTCGACAGGAAGTAAGTAGACAAACAATCTACAAATTGGCTTTTCAAATAAGCGGCTTCCACTGTATTACACATTCTTAGGGACACCTGCCCTTAGTATGTGGTCTTTTCTGAATATTTCACCCACTGTTGTCACCAGACGTAAACTGAGCAACCTGTACTGTTGTGCAAATGGGCCCATCATAGCAGTTTTTCCGGACAACTTTAGAGAGCCACGTGACAAGTCACAGGCCTTGTAAACGTCTATTTCTATTTCATCATCACATGAGGCTCGTCAACAGTGTTTGTTCCTCCGGAACTGATTCCTACTCGATATCTGTTCGTTAATCGTTAATCCTCCGGAACATTCCTACTCGATATCTGTTCGTTTATCTGTGCGTATACTAAGTAAATCCTACAAGCGAGGCCATCAGGGATCCGGCGGAAGCAATCGCCGGTAGAAAACTTGTCCGAATGTTGTCCGAATGAAGGACGCCTCAACAGATGGGAGGAATACACAAAAACGTGGAAGTTTTTTTGTTAGGAACACACTAAGGACATGGGCAATGTGACGTACACTAAAGTTACAATTTATTTTGTTACGCCACAGACAAACAAATCAACAATAATCAAGTGGTTTATACAGTGCACCTCATCCCCTTACCGGATGTTCTAAATAACAAATAACTAATTACTATATATACATATATGAGTACGGAAATGTAATGTTTGGCTTCTATATCTATTTGACGGATATAAACATCACTCAAATAGAGCTAGAAGCGCTCAGTGCCTTCAATATATGTTTGTGTTAATAGTAACATTTTAACATTGTCATCGTAATGCATTCACCTTTGAGTAAAAGATTTCAAAACAAGACAATTTTGTGACTTATTGTGGTGGCTTTCAGACCTTTCTTTCGACTTATTTACACTATGATAGTATCAGCAACAAGGCTCAGTCCTAGAGACGTGTGCTGGGTTTCATGTTTGAATGAATTGCTAAAGTTTGTCAGTGACGACATTACTAAGGTCAAGGAGGTTAAATATAAGTATTTAACCTCCTTGCTAAGGTCGAAGGTGAATGACATAGGATGCCCCACCCGACTGATCAAATGATTTTCTGCTCAGTCATGGTGACCTCGAACAATAACGGATGGTACAGTAAAACGTTGCAGTATGGCCTTGATGAACTTTTATTCACAAAAAATGCGATACCACAAGTTGAACCATTGATTATTAGTTCATCAGATTTATACGACGCTGACATTATGTTTGTGTGTGTCACAAGGTTGGATCATACATAAAAGCCCGTGAAAAAGAAATGTTGGTTGTGAGGAATTTTTGCTTGCAACAGTAGTAATTCTAACGAATACATCGCGATGATTTTAAATCATTGCTATAATACGCCTTGTTAATTCAGAAAACTGATAACGCGTTTTGCTGCCTCCTACTTTTTTTTGTATGTGATACACCAGTGATAGCAACTCGCTGACCATCAAACAAAATGGATTAGGTACGAAGACCATCCCATGGGGAACACCAACAGTCGTGCACATGAGACAGAAATGGGCTTTACTCTGATCGCTAAAACTAGCATCTTAACTTCAAAGTATAGAATTAAAGAAAAAACATCGCATGATGTGACGACATCTAACGTCAGCCTTGACGATATTCTAGGAAGATAAACATTCCGATTTACCTCACTGTGTAAAGACAAACATTATTTTTTCCTCCCTAGGCCTATGAAGGATGTCACATCCTGATTATCACCTGTTCTGTCTCACACAACAGACATAAATAAGGTAGATGTACTGAGGACTGTCTCACAAACCTGCAGAGAGTTCTATCGTAAGGACCGACTCAAGACATTCATACAAGGTAAGCTGTGTTTTCTTTCGCAGTTTAATTCATGGAGTAGTAGTTCTTTCTGTGACTTTTCGTCGTCAATTGTTTATGAAGATTTACCACGTGGGGTTGCCAATGGATACTCACCTAGCCCCACAGAATCTGCTTGGAGATTAGAAGGGTTGACATAATATAACAGGTGACTATCACCTCGTCAAAGATGTCTGAGACCAGACTGTGATGTTTGAACCACTCACACCGGGAAGGACCCATGCTCTTTTCAATAAGTGCAGTGGGATCCTTGGCATGCTCGAGCCACACGGCTCTCCCAAACACGGGACCTCTGGATTTACGTCCATTTCGAGAGGACGTCCCTAACCGAAGCTAGGAACTCACTTACACCTCAGTCAAGTGAGGAAATAGGAGTTTAAAAGTGCCTTTCCAAGAACACAAAACTAATACAGAATTATACAAATATTGATATTATTATTTTGACTCTTATTTTGACTTGTAGATGAAGAAGTTCATCATTTTCTTCGCCCTGGTGGCCTGTGCCCGTGCTGACTTCTGGAGTGACCTGTGGGACGGCGTGCAGACCACTCTGCTCGATCCCATCATCGACACAGCCCAGCAAACCGCACAAAGTAAGTAACCTATAGCCTCTATCAGGCTTCAGAAACGGCGGGAAAGAGTAGGATTTGGCCAAATAGAGAGATAACATGCCAGGGAGCGGTAAACTTTGTACTCCTTTCACTCCGAAAAAAAGATTTCTTTAAGCACGCCTTTAAGCATGCGTAAAGGCTCCGTTTCTTACTGCTTGTACCTTTACGTATGTTTAAGGTATGCTTTAAGACTTTCGTGCAGTGCATTTAGCGCATCCCCTTGCATTATCTATCTATCCAAACTGCACAGCCTTTGAAACGATAGTCTATTATTTCAAGAGTAGACTGTAAACTTAAAGGCTCTTTCAAGAGTTTTGAATGTATAGGAATGTAAGGATAGACTTTCCCATCGCACTGTTCAAGAATATGCCTCACCTTTTTATACTACATCACAGACTTAAACCCCGTTTTTGTACTATGTTCACTAGTGTCATACATTGTACCGCGTACGAGTGTCGTGCCGCAATGAACGTTAACGTCTTTTTCTATCCCCTCCAGCCCTCATCGACACCTACGTGCCCGTGATCGGCCAGGCCGCCCAGCAGTTAATAGGAGAAGCGGTACAAAGTGCCGGCGACTCGCTGACCGACCTGGTCAGCGGGAAGCGCAGCCTGACCGACAGCATCGTGGGTCTGCTGCAGGAGGGCATCCAGTGGCTGGAGCAGGTGGTCATCGGCGCCGTACAGGAGGTCAGCCAGAGCCTGCAGAACACCGTGGCCAACATGTTCAGCGGCTCCAAGAAGATGCTGGGTGAGAGAACTTGTAACTCTTTATTTGTAACAGTTCTTCTGTGGCAAAATAGCTCTAACGTATCTTTCAACTCCGTCAACGTTACGTCGCTGGTTGTTGGAAACAATGGTTCTATTATTATTTTTTCAGTCGGCATGGCCTCCATCAACAAGAAGAGCAAGGTCATGATGAAGAAGCGCGCTCAGATGATGAAGGTGCAGCTGTCCAAGTCTCTCAGCAAGATGGTGAGCCCCGCTTATAACTAGAAAGCAATATGGACATTTTTGGCGACGCCATAGGGGCGGAACTAATAGCATATCTTATCGTGAAAGTTTTTCTACATTTTAGATGGAGCCATGTTAGGAAATACAGTAGAAAGGCTACGTACGTAAATTGTACATCAAATAGGATTGATATTTATAAGTAGACTTACAAATATTAAATGCTACATGATGTGTAGTGTTGAAAATGTTGATACAAAGTTTTCACCTTGCTTCTTCTCTGCTATAACGTCAGGCTAAGGCCCGTGGGTTCTTTGACGACCTCACCGCCGCCGCCGGTCAGCTGTTCGCGCCCGTTGTGGACGCCGCCACGCAGTCCTTCAACCAGGTAAGGCCGCTACAACTTTCTGTCCTCTGTGGACTAGTCGACTCCAAATTTCGAAGAAAACAAGGCGGGCAACCCCAAAGATCCCTACATTTTCAAATACCTTTGTAATCCAGGTAGGGCACGAGTAAAGTAATGTAAATCTTATGAATCTAGCAGGTGTGAAACGACCACTCTTGATAATAAAGTCCTTAGTTAGACTCATGATATCTTACACTTCATCTTTGAGCTAGAGGATCCCGTAAAGAAATGTTTTAAAGCATCTTGAGAAAGAGAATGTTTGCCTAAAATGTGTCAAATGAAAGGAAACCGCTGACTGCTGTGTGATGGCAGTGAGTTAATGTTTCTCCTTCCTCTGTTTCCAGCTTGTTGACGCCGCCACCGCTGTGGGAGCGCAGCTCGTGGACCACGCCACCAACTTCGTCGACAACGCCAGCACCACTTTCCAGGAGACCGTGGGTATGTACACATTTGCCGTCGTGAGCTAATCTCCAGGCAGATCCTGTAGGGCAAGGGAAGTATATTGGCCGCCTGTAACCATTTGCAGCCCCACAATATTAGATACTGCCTGGCCAATTGGATACTGTCTTGCCAATTTGATACCGCATTAGCCTGAGTTCCATCCTGGTTAGTTTACGTCCGCTCCCACAGTCTTGGTGGTAGCGACTGTGGCAGCGGACGTAAACTAACCAGTATGGAACCCAGGCTAATATTGTATTGCAGTCACCCAGAGAATCTGCTTGGAGATATGGCGTGAGCGTATGAAACTCTAAAAAACGTATGTAAAAATCACTGCTCGAACCCCTATCTTTAAGCACACTTTCAACATGCGTAAAGGTACATGCGAAGAAAGAAACGGCCATCTTTACGCATGCAGTGAATCGGGTGTAATAATCACGCACTCTCTCACTGGCAAACTGCTGATTTGTGCCAATGCAGTTCACATTAGTAAGCTATTACGGCTACTGTAACTTTTACCTCTACTTGTTACATGTACATCACCTGTACTTAGCTTGTAAGAATAAATGTACAGTAAACGTCTTTCATTTCACATCGTTGGACGGATAGGTGGACGGTACGTGTGAAATGTAAAGCTCACATTCGCACATTTTATCACATTCAGTGAGGTTACAATATGAACCTTCCCCCCTTACGTACAGACCAGCTCACTGGAGTTGCCCAGCCCTACATCGATGACGCCAACACCATCATCGACTCCGTTACCAACACGTTCCAGGAGAACTTCGGTGCCGACACCACGGCCTAAGTCTTAGCCTACGTAACACATACTGGGGGCACCATGACTGAGAACGCTTGGCCCTCTGGGTCTTAACATCGTTTTGTCTAGTACGCACAATAAAATATTTGTCAGAATATCAAAGCCATTGAGTCATGTTGTTCTTTGGTCTTGTATAAATATACATGGAATATCATGCATGCAGAACTTTATTGCACCACATTTGTACGGGGTGCAATGTATGGTAACAAGTTTTGAACATAGTGCACTAGTATTACAGTAGCTGTACGTTTGTAAAAGATCAGTGCAATTCAGTCCCCCTGTCAAGGGCTTCTGTGATACTACCTTTTGGACGTTCAATAAAACCAGTCACACGTAGTACCTAAAAGGGGTATAGAATAAGACTAAAACAAGTACTGGCATAAGTCTATGATATAGAGTTACCATATTAATTCTGGTCGCTTTTATCCCACATAATATCAGGTTGCCACGTTCGAAGCCTCATATTTAGAAGTTTGTAGATCTTCATGACTGAGAAGCGGCTAAATTGTTATGTGTTGGTCTGATATAGAAATAACATACACAATGAAGCTTAAAGCTTGCTCCATAGTGATGAAGTTCCACTATGAAAGAAGCTTTCAGCGTGAAACTTCCTCATGAGAAATGAAGTATTGAAGACTGGAAGGGTGATTTGCCTCCGTAGTAGCAAACGTGTCAGTATGCAGTGCAAATATCCAGAGGTACTCTGTTTCACCGATTTGTACCCCTTTGTTTCCTAGAAAATTCCGTTTGGTGGGAAAAAAATTCAGTGCAAAAGAGAAACCCTGATAAAAAAGCCTAAAACACGCTAAAAATACCCCCAAAACCCAAACCTCTGCTTGGAGAGTAGAAAAGTCCATCATCACGAAGGGCTCGTCAATGGTGTTTGTTCCTCCGGAACATTCCTACTCGATATCTGTTCGTTAATAGTTAATCCTCCGGAACATTCCTACTCGATATCAGTTCGTTTATCTGTGCGTATACATCCTACAAGCGAGGCCATCGGGGATCCGGCGGAAGCTATCGCCGGTAGAACACACGCTAGCGTAAAAGTTTTCAGAATAGTTTTTGTATACAACAACAAAATGGATTAGGTACGAAGACCATCCCATGTGGAACACCAACAGTCGTGCACATGAAACAGAAACGGACCATACTCTGATCGTCAAAACCAGCATCTCTCTTCAACAAAAGGGTATAGAATAAAAAAACTCATCAGATGATGTGACGACATCTAACGTCAGCCTTGACGAATTCTAGAAGATAAACATAGATAAACATTCCGATTTACCTCACTGTGTAAAGACAAACATCATTTCCCTCCCCCGCGAAGGATGTCACATCCTGATTATCACCTGTTCTGTCTCACACAACAGACATAAATACGGTAGATGTGCGGAGGTCTGTATCACAAACCTGCAGACTGTTCTATCGTGAGGATCGACTCAGGACATTCATACAAGGTAAGCCGTTTTTTCGCAGTTTGATTCATACAGTAGTAGGTCTTTCTTTGTTCGTCCCACTATTTATGAAGATTTAACACATGTGGCAGGATCGACATAACAGGTGACTATCACCTCTTCAAAGATATGGGTTTTTCACATTGATTCATGGAGTAGTAGTTCTTTCTGTGACTTCTGTGACCAGACTGTAAGATTTGAACCACTCACACCGAGAAGGACCCCTGCTCTTTTAGATAAGCGGCGCGGTGCTCGAGGTGTGGCTCTCCTCAAACACGGGACATCTAGATTTACGTCCCTTTCGAGAGGACATCCCTAACTGAAGCTAGTTACTCATTTTCACCTGAGTCGAGTGAGGCGACGAAATAGGTGTTAAGTGCCTTTTCCAACAACAAAACTAATATAGTATTGTAAAATATGTTTTTCTACTTTGACTCTTATTTTGACTCACCTTGTAGATGAAGAAGTTCATCATTTTCTTCGCCCTGGTGGCCTGTGCCCGTGCTGACTTCTGGAGTGACCTGTGGGACGGCGTGCAGACCACTCTGCTCGATCCCATCATCGACACAGCCCAGCAAACCGCACAAAGTAAGTAAACTAGCCTCTATCAGGCTTCAGAAGCGGCTGGAAAGAGTAGGAATTGGCCAAATAGAGAGATAACATGCCAGGGAGCGGTAAACTGTACTCCTCTCACTAAAAACTAAAAAAAGATTTCCTTAAGCACGCCTTTAAGCATGCGTAAAGTTTCCACGTCGCGTGTACCTTTACGCTTGCTTATGGTAGTGTGTGCTTAAAGATGGGATTTCTTTCATGGAATGAATTTACCGGACCAACTCCCCTGGTATAGCCAAATTGCACAGCCTTTGAAACGATAGTCTACTATTTCAAGAGTATACTGTAAAGTCTATTTCAATATGAACTTTCTCATTGCACTGTTCATGAATATGCCTCACCTTTTATACTATATAAATGACTTATACTAGCCCGTATTACATGTACTTCAGTAATGAGGATGTTGAATTTATTCTATGCTCCGTTTTTGTACTATGTTCAATAGTTGTTGTTGCCATACATTGTAGTATGATTGTACCGCGTACGATTGCCGTGCAATAAAATCCTCCTTCTTCTCCTTTTCTTCTCCTTTTCCTTCTTCTTTTCCTCCTCCTCCTTCACCTTCTTTTTCGTCTTTCATCCTCTCCAGCCCTCATCGACACCTACGTTCCCGTGCTCGGCCAGGCCGCCCAGCAGTTAGTGGGAGAAGCGATACAGGGCGCGGGCGAGTCGCTGACCGACCTGGTCAGCGGGAAGAAGCGCCAGGTCGAGCTGCAGACCGAGATCGGGCAGATCTTCCACGATGGCATCATGGGGCTCTTCGAGGGCGCCGCCCAGACCATCCAGTCCCTTCAGAACACCCTCACCCAGACCATGCAGGGCCTGTTCAGCTCCGACCCTGTTCCCGCTACCAGAGGTACAGCCACGGCAATACCCTGGAAGCCAAACTCGTTTTCCGGGCCGCAAGAGCCCTTCGCCCGCTGGTGTAAATTACCGCTACGGGGGAGTCTAGCCCCGGGGAATTTGGCTGGCCTAGCCTGGATGCCAGACCCAAAGCACACTGGACACAAAATATCTCAGTGTGCAAGGGTCTGGCAGGGTCTCTTAGGAAAGGCTCTCGAGCATAAGGAGGAGAAGCTGTGATTGATGACCCCTCACACCACAGGTAGCCTGTTACATGGTATCACCATTGGTCGGTAGGAGACAATCTTGGGCTCAACAGTTAATCATTAACCAGTCAACTTTCTAGATGTATTTGGAGTTTATTTTCCAAAATAACAGCAAAACTTAATTTAACAGTAGAAGAAGTGTACAACCCAGGCTTTCCTGTTTGTTTAGGTAACAGTCCTCTAACACATTAGGACAAAATACACCTTATCTACAGTTTTATCTCATCTGCTGGTGAAGATTCAAAGATCCAGCTGGGACTCTTTAACCAATCATAGCAGAGGTGTAAAATTGCTTCCTGCTGTGCCACCAATGGGGCCTTACGCTCAGATACTGAGCGTTCGAGTGGCAGGTCTATCTGACCCTACCAGACCCAGGCTCACTGAGATATTTGTGTCCAGTGTGCTATGGGTCTGGAACCCAGGCTAGGCTGGCCCTACTAGGGCCGAATACTCCTCGCGGGCTCAACTCCACCGCAGCGGTAATTTAGGTTTGCGGGCGAAGGGCTTCTGGCTGCCGAAGGAAACGGTTAGCGGCCCGTAAACTTGGCTGGCACCCAGGGTACCGCGGCACTGAATCACATCTTTACTCACACCTTGATCGAACATGCTGCATTACGTTGGTTGTTTCTCGTAGTCCATAATCATGATTATCCTCGATTTTTCAGTCGGCGTGGCCTCCATCAACAAGAAGAGCAAGGTCATGATGAAGAAGCGCGCTCAGATGATGAAGGTGCAGCTGTCCAAGTCTCTCAGCAAGATGGTGAGTCCCGTCTGCTAACTAGAGAGATCTGGGCATTTTTGGCGACGCCACAGGGGCGAAACATATTAGTCTATCTTTTTGCTGGTACTTTTAAGATGGAGGCATATTGGGAAATAAAATACGAAGACTGCATATTGTGTATCAAAAGACAGGATTAATATTTGTAGATATGGTTGATACAAAGTGTTCACATTTTTTTCGTTTTTGCTGTAACGTCAGGCTAGGGCTCGCGGGTTCTTTGACGACCTTACCGCCGCCGCCGGTCAGCTGTTCGCGCCCGTTGTGGACGCCGCCACCCAGTCCTTCAACCAGGTAAGGCCGCTACCTGAATGAATGAATTAATGAATTTTTATTTACGTGTCTTGCGACTTTTGTCGCCCAGCCCACATGGGCTTATAAGACACCAAAACATAAACATGAACATAAACATAGGTACAGAAATCATAGAAACATAAATCCAAGTCCGAATCAAAAGGTCAGACTGGAAACATCAAAGCTACAAGTAAAGTCCTCTGTGGTCCAAATTTCGAAGAAAACAAGATTCCTAATTTTTCAAATCCCTTTGTAGTTCAGGTAGAACACGAGTAATCTAAATCTTTTGAATCAATCAGGCGCAATTTTATTATGAAATGGAGTTATATTATCTTGAGTTAGACTCATAATAATATCTTACTGTTAATCATGTAGCTATAGGATATCGATCCATAAAGTAGATGTTTTAAAGTATCACGAGAGAAAGAATGCATGTATAAAATGTATCCCACCACCTTTAAAAGTTCGAGGAAAACGCTGACTAGCTATTGTGTAATGGACAGTGAATTAAGAAATGGGGTCGTGGGGTCGTGTGGCGCAACGTCAGCATGCCGTGCGCGACTCGGAATCAAGAGGTCTCGGGTTCGAGTCCTGACATGCCACCGATCTTGTGCCCTTGGGAAAGGCACTTTACACGACTTTCCTTACAAGACTCAAGTGAAAATGAGTATTGTCTGTCCAGTATTCGTTTCTATGTGCGGGACACAACACCAGCAACAGCTGCCTCTGTTCCGCATGTATTGCACTGTTGCAATTTCAATAAATCCAATCAATCAATCAAATCAATTAAGAAATGTTAGATTCACCTAACGTCGTGTGTTTCTCCTCCATCCGTTGCCAGCTTGTTGACGCCGCCACCGCTGTGGGAGCTCAGCTCGTGGACCACGCCACCAACTTCGTCAACAACGTCAGCACCACTTTCCAGGAGACCGTCGGTACGTAGATATATTATGCGGTCGTGTGACGTAACGACAGAGCGTCCCGTTTTACAAAACTTTAGAAAACGTCTGCGATAATCACTGCTCGAACCTCTTAAACACGCGTAAAGGTACACTGTGCATGCGAAGGAAGAGACCGAACCTTAACGCATGATTTAAGTCGTGTTGTAAGAATTTTTTTGCAGTGAATCGCGTGTAATAATCGCGCAATCTCTGACTGGCAAACTGATTTGCGCTATATCATTGTAGCTGACGTTAGTATGTATAGTTTTAGTAAGATACTACAGCTACTGTAATCTGCTTTATATATGAATTGTACGTATATATTAGCTCGTAAGAGAATACCTTACCTTACCAATTACTAGTCCCATACTCATACCGCTGAGGGTCGGGGTCTATGGTGGCATCAGCCTCCTCCATTCCCGCCTGTCTCTGGTCCTATGAGAATAAACGTACAATGGTTATCTTTCATCCATTCATCCATCATTCAGATAGGTGGACGTTGTACATTGTAATGCTCAAAGTCACTCACAGACCACACAAGTACGAACATTTACCAGATGCAGTGGTGTTAAAATATAAACCTCCTCCCCCCCCCCCACAGACCAGCTGAGTGGAGTTGCCCAGCCCTACATCGATGACGCCAACACCATCATCGACTCCGTTACCAACACGTTCCAGGAGAACTTCGGTGCCGAGACCACGGCCTAAGTCTTGGAATAACACATACAGGGGCATCATGGCTGGGAAAGTCTGGCCCTCTTAACATCGTTTTGTCAAGTACGCACAATAAAATATTTGCCAGAATGTTAAAGCCATTGAGTCGTGTTGTTCTTTGCTCTCCTTACCTACATGGAATATCATACAGAGCTTTATTACACGACAGTTGTGCGTGGTACATTGAACATTGTACCAAAAGGGTATAGAATAAAACGTAGCATCCTAACTACTATAACAAAAGGGCTAGCATATGTTTATGATATAGAGTTACCATATTAATTCTAGTCTGGCCAACATGCCCCCAAGGAAATAATATTACATCACCCTTTAGCTAGGATCTGATCCACGAGCTTTAGCTAGGATCTGGCTAATTCTTGGCCTAGCGTGTTATGGGTCTGTAATCCAGGCTAAAATATGGCATAAAAAGTCGTTCTAGAAAACTTAAAGAACAGTCTGATGCACTAGAAGTACTACAAAAGTGAAAAGAAATAAAAAGTCAAGATGAGTCAAGATGTGTATGTTGTTTCACTCGAAATATTCCACCACCTGATTTTTACATTGACAAATTTGAGACTTGGAAAATCACTAACGCTATCATTATGTTTATTCCGTTTAGATAGAGCCCTGTATCAAAAGGTAAGCCAACACAGGAACAAGCCTCGTGTTTGTTATCTGCTTGTGTTGTAGATTAAAGAACTGTGAGGTCCTTTAGGCATAGGAAATGATGAAATTATCATACAACAAACAGTACTGTGTGACTAACGCTCACTGCAGTAGCATCTTTTCTCACTAAGTCAGAAACATCCAGTCTGACTCAATGACTCAATAGTGGAAGCAAGAGTTACAAAGGCTACCTCATTTTAGGCCTTGAAAGTTGCAAACATTACTTTGAAACCACTTGTGAGCTCCCCCAGTAAGTATTTACTTCTTATAGACCACACCCACTTGGTGTCAACAGCATCAGTAGATAATTAGATTACGGTGCATCACCGTGCAAAAATAGTGGTCAGAAATTTGATAACGCGCGTCAACAATAAACATTGTTCTCCGGAGGTGGAGATGGGAAGATCGGAAGGGACAAGACACCTGCTGTTTGTGAGATCCAGGGATAAATACCCGGACTCATCGGACAGTCAGTCTCACTCATCACAAGTACGAGACTGACAGACATTTGGTGACATTTGGTTGTATACGTATCGCCAACTTTCATCAGGAATAGCACCTGAACGGCCTGAGTTAGGACCATGAAACTTGGAAAAAGGTGGAGAAAGCATAGCGAAACGAGCAGGAGCTGCCATAAAGAAATATGTCCAGACAGTAAAGCGGGTCGAGTTGACACGGGGAAAAGATAATATAGTTGCGCCACCTGTCGTGACTGTTTTGAGCTGCAGAATCACCCAGGGTGTAAGGTTGCACACCAGTAGTACGTCACTACAGGGGTGCCGATTGCAACAGTTGCTAATCATTACCTGTAGGTCTTCAGTCGGTCATGCCGAGTTAAGAGAATAGGACAACATCCTGACAGAAATCTGGACCAAATCAAGACAGGTTTTAATTTCGGGCCAACTCAGACATCTAAACTCTGCCTGGGCAGCTTGCCATCTTTCTTTTCCATTTGTCTCTTGCGAAGGTAAGGTGCTTTTCTTATTATTCGGAGCAATTCTATCATCTTAAAACAGAGCTGTGCGTACTTAAAATTAGCGCTAACATCATCTGTATCATGCCATTAATAGTAACGTCATGTGTGTCATGTCTGGATGGAAAAAGTTGTTGTATCGTGCAAGACGACCGGGTTGTCTGTCTACTTTCGTCGTTTTTTTTTTCGGCGATTTCAGATCACTGATTTGCTTCGGTACTCCAGTGGAATATATACCTGTTTGCAGGGAATTGCAGACTTCCGAGTTTTTTTCAGAGTCATTCGCAAGTGGAGTTTTTACGTAATCTAGAAAGGGACAATTGCAGCTATACGTTGTAAATTTTAAACAAGTTCATAATTACATGTATGCACAGAACGTTCTATGCAACAAACATACGCGTGATCGGCCATTTTTTCAGATCATGTAGACATTCCCACCTAGTGAGGAAGCAATGTAGTGATATTTTCCAGAAGAACTGCCTTACCTTATCTCCTTGTGTTGAGGACCTGACGACATTTAAAGTTTCTCAGAAACCTGACTAAGGCTACAGCAAGTAATTTCTGTGGATGACATCATAACGCGCATTGATTTTCACCTGAAAACAAGAAATTTTGTTCCCCTTTGACATGCCGATAATGGGCAAAGATGTCTGTTACCATGGCGGAACGTGGATGGCAGATAGATATGAAGAGAGGAGACAAGGCTCTGATTTATACATGTTTGTCCTTCACTTTAATGCAGTGCTGTATTTCATCCTTTTTGATGTGTGATGTTCCCACTGAATCAAAACCATCTGTACAATGATTGAAAAGTCAGTGACAAATGGATATTGTAATAGTTGGCAGTAAACATAACACAATACATTTCTTGTTTAACAAGGTTAAAATGTGAAAATGTAGCAATCTTGTTTTTTGGCCCTCCTTGTTTTTTTCGCCCTATCGCATTAGATTTGGAGTCTGCGGAGGACGTCATCCATAAAATTTACTTACTATGGCCTTTACCAAGTGTTGAAGACTGCCACTTTAGTCTTTGGGCCAAAGTACGAGTCACTTTTTCAATTGATACCAGCTTTGAGGTAGAATTCAAACGCCAAGTCGCACTGTGTGGTCGTAATTCAATGAGGTACTCTTGTTTTGGCAGCGCAAATAAAAGTCGCGAGACGACAAACTTCATTTGCATTGACAGTTTGCGTTGGCCGCATGTCGACAAGATTGTTCAAACATAACTGGTCTTCGGAACACCCTGAGAACAAATAGACAATGACCCGCTTTTTCCCAGTTCACGTGACTCAAGTGAAGGCTTAAACGTGCCTGAAAGCCAGTAGCGTCCGTCTAACTATTGGAAGAAGGCCAGAGATTTTTAGACAGCTAAAAATCTAGTAAGTACATTTCAGTCCTTTGTGGAAGGTAAGTAGCCTCTACCAGGCACCGCGGATCGCTGGAAAAATAGTAGAAATTGGCCGAAATAAAGGGATAGCATATCAGAGAAGATCCAGGGCCATTGGATATTCTATGGACTGGGATCTTCTCTGGTATACTATCCCTTTATTTCGGTCAGTTTCTGCTATTTTTCCAGCGATCCGCGGTGCCTGGTAGAAGCTAGAAGGTAAGTCTAAAGTTTAATCGCTCTACAGTCCCCCTCAGCACAAATACTGATGGACGTTTCAGTATATAGTTTGTGTCGCATGTTCATGTAACCGTCCAATGCCTGTTTTTTTTTCGGCGGGACTACTAGCAAGGCGTTGTGATACTAATATAATCTCCAAGCAGATCTTTTGGTGGGGGTAAGACAGTATCAAATTGGCCAGTCTGTAACTTACTTGGGTGGGGAAATGGTTACAGACTGACCAGTTTGATAATGTCTTACCCCCACCAAAAGATCTGCTTGGAGATTAATACTAATAGTACATCGATGAAGGTTAGGCATCCAGGTATATGAGATACTAACACGAAAAACTGCTACTCAAGCGGCTGGATATACTATGAAAACTGTCAGACGTTTCAGGTAGCAGTCACTACTTTTCGTCAGTGACTGTTACGATGTTGTAATTTACAATCACTGCAAAAGGTGTATGGAAATTGTTGGCTACCATGACCGCGGCCGCTCTAGATCTCATGCATGCAAGCAGCATTTTGAAAACTATCAGACGTTTCAAGTAGCATCCACTACTTTTCGTCAATGACTCATCAGTGATTTTGTGTCTATTATCACTTGAAAAAGGTGTAGGGAAATTGTAGGCAACCTTGGCCGCTGCTCTCATGCAATTTTCTTACGGCTCTCGGTGGCAAATGTGCTGATGTTGTCGCACATAGGCGCACCAAATCCGTAGTGTGTTTTTGCACACAGTTAGACAGATTAGCCTAAGAGGCTCAGTGGGCGTCACTCCATCGTGCAGGGACCTCTCATGCAAGTAGAATTTAAATTAAAACCTCAGTCTTCTTGTTTTGTCTTCACAGACTTGGCAAGGATGAACTTGGCGGCGTTCTTTTTGCTAACAGCCGCACTGGTCGCGGCTAGTCGGGGCCAAAAATGTCTCTGCCCAGACGCCGGCGCGGGGGAGGGTGGCCAGGCGGCGGGTGTGTACAGCCTCCCTGCCGGGCAGACGGTGTGCGTCGCCCCGAAGGCCTACACGACCCCGGCCGGTGAGGAGGAGACGGGGGAGGTGGAGCAGCTGCGGGAGGAGGTCAGGTCGCAGGCCGAGGTGATCGCCAGGTTGGAGACGGAGAGATCGACGATGCAGAACATTCTGCTGAACTACAGCACGTCAGCCATCACTCTGCTCAACCGCTTTGACAGCATGGCCGAGGTAAACAAAACCATACCACACATTCTGACGTCCTCATATAAGACCGAGAGAAACAAATGATTTCAAACAGATTTAGAAGATCATCAAAGGACTATGTTAATACTATAAAGATCACAAAACTCACTCATTACGCAAAACGTGGGACAATTCATTATCCACTGCCTTCAAAGAAGAAGTAAAACCCCATAACATGATTTACTATTTATTTTTGTATTATATTTTGATTTGTATTTTGGTTTGATTTTGTATTATATTTTGGTTTGATTTGTAATCCGTGACCCCGCCCTCACCCTCGACCTTGTTGAAAAGCGGTCATATGTATGTACCGAACAAGCTTTCGAGTGAAATAAAAAGGCTTACTACTACTACTACTACTACTACTACTACATAACATAAAACGACGTATACTCACACTAGTATATAGTAAAGCATTTAATAGTACAAGTTGATCAGACAGTAGTTTTCTTTGACTTAGTATAAGCAATTAGCCTTCGGGCATGATTTTCCAAATAAAGATTTTGTTTGATTCTATGAACCACTTTTTCCATGATGAAGCTTTTTACGGATAGATCAAGTTTTCCCGAATTCAAGATATCCTACGGAAACTTTGTGTGTGTGTAAATTGTGCCATAAAATTGCAATGTGTAATGA